CGGCGTCAGGCCCGGCCCCCCGGGTCGCTCTTGAAGGCGGTCGCCTGGAAGAGCTGGGGACAGAAGGCAGCGCTCCCCAGCTGAGCCAAAGGCCGCCCTGACTGGGGCCACATAGACCCGGGAAGCGCCGGGCGCCCCGGGGAGGGTGGGCAGCACCCCGGGGGAGCGGGGAGCGCTCCACCCCGTAGCCGGCTTCAAGTTTCTGGTTGCCCAGAGCTGCTCTCTGGCTAGTGTCTGGTGTCAGAGCGAATATAAATACGGACGTCAGCAAGAGCATTAGCGTTCTTGAGGCTGCCGGGCCTTCACGATCACAAAACTTAAACTCCCGATTTTTGCCGCTTACCTCTCTTGTTGGTAACGTGCTTAAGGATTTCGGTGGCGGCTCATCTTCCTGTGGCGTCGCTCTTTAAAAATTCCCTGCTTCCCGTCCGCTGTAAATCCTCAGGTTCTCTCACCATAGGGATGAGATTCTGAGGGTTGGAGATAAATAAATAGATGATCCTTGAACAAGATTTAGTCAGTTTTATCAAGAGACTGAATGTCAGAGACTAACGTGAGAGAAAGGATTCAAACTATGACTTAAATACTGTAACTGAAATGAGACAAAACAAATAGCATGTTTTTGAACCTCGGGCTTTCCGCAAAGCTAAGTAGAGTTAGAGTTTACTTGTAAAAGGCATCAGAAAATTGATTAAGAGCCACTTAATTCATGCTGCCTTATACCTGAGCAAACAAGGTTACAAGTTCAACTCCACACCACCACCCCCCCCCCCCCCCCGCTGTAGCACAAACGTGTGTCTGGAGCGAAGTTTGAATGTTAAATCCCCCAGCAACAGCAAAATCTTGCCCATCTGGAGAGAAGTTCAGACGCGAAGTAAGGAAAGGGGGGGGCTCTGCATGGCTGTGTTTGGCATCAGCATTAACAGGATTAAGATAACGTGTTCTGGGACCTGCAGCAGGCGGGATCTGGTCGAGATCAGTGCTGATGTTGACAGGTTGAAATCTTGAAAGCTCCCTGGGATCCTGGGCAGCTGAGCGCACAGAAGAAGTGCTTTGGTACCTTTTGGCGCAGCTCTGAGCCTTGTTTTGTTTGTCCTTGGTTTTGTTTTTTTTTTTTTTGTTCTTGCTTTGAATGATAGGGGCAGCAGGCCAAAACAAACAACACTTTATTACGAAGAACACGGCCAAGCTCGACCGAGAAACAGAAGAGCTGCACCATGACAGAGTTCCCCTGGAGGTGGGCAAAGTGATCCAGCAAGGCCGACAGAGCAAGGGCATGACGCAGAAGGACTTGGCCACAGTGAGTATGGCCCGGGGCCTGCTGGCCTCTGCTCCTGCTCTCCTGGGGCAGGTTTAGGCACCTCGAGGTGAAGGTGGACGCTTTTCCTGTCCCCTCGTGGGCAGCTGCAGTGGGATGGTATCATGAGCGGGAAGTTTGGTGGACGCAGCACCTCTGATGTCTGATCTCCAGGCAACGTTAGTTATGTAGGCAATGTTTTAGGGGGTTCTGTGCAGCCCTTGAACACCTGCTTGGAGACGGAGCGTTGCTGCGGCTGGTGAGCTGGTAGGAGGCTTTTTTTTCTTCCCCTCTCCTGCCGTCGACTCGGCACCGACGTGAGGGTTTTTTTGTACCGTCTGGGCCTGATGCAGCGTTCAGAAGCTCACTGCTGTCTTAAGGAACAGCAATACATAGTGCTGCTGCTCCTCCTGGGAGGCTGAGGGAAGTGGAAGTCTGTCCAGGATGGCTGTCACCATCGCTGTGACACTCAGATAGCGGAGGGGGGCGATAATGACAATGGAGTAAGCCTGGAAGTAGCACTTTGTCTTCTGATCCTGGCATAATGAGAGGCTGTTACTTACCTGCGTGAGTACTGGGGGGTTGGTGCTGAGTGTTTGCTGTGTATGGAGCCAGCGTTTGAGACGCATCCTCTCCTTTTAGAAAATCAATGAAAAACCACAAGTTATTGCTGACTACGAATCAGGAAGAGCAATCCCCAATAACCAGGTTATGGGCAAGATCGAAAGAGCCATTGGTAAGTTAAGAAAGGAGTCTTCAGAAATAGCGATAATGTTTTCCATGCCTAGGAGGGATGCTTTGGTTTAAGTTACTTCCATTTGCCACGTCGGGAACAGTTGCTGGCTGTAGGTTACCGTGGGTGCGGTGTCATTAGGTTGTGTTCTGATGAAACTGGGATCTGCTGCCTGAAACCAGAACTCAGAGCTCTTCTTCTCCTTTGTTCTTCATCTTCTTGCGCAGGGCCGTGCCCTGGGGACCACCCCTGTATGCTGCCCCCCCTCCCCCCCAAATCAACAAGATACTGAGACCCATGAAGGCCTGATTATACTTGGGGAAAGTATCTTGCAGCCACCAGTGTTGGTGTTACTCTCCTAGGCCGGTTCAGAAACCATTTTCTAGGAAGATGGTCGGTGGACAAGCAAGAATTGGGAGCTTTGTCTGAAACTAGCCTGGTGCTCCTCGAAACCAAAGTAGGATTCTCCCTAACTCTGGTTCTCCTGCCCTCTTTTTTGGATGTTCTCTTCCTTGTAGCAAAAGTTTGCGGAAGTGAAGCGATCAGGTGAATGGTCGAGTGCTGACGGCAGCTGATGGTGGTCGTCTGCTTTGTCTTATTCCAGGCCTTAAACTGCGGGGGAAGGATATTGGAAAACCGCTGGAGACTGGCCCCAAAGGGAAGTGACAACAAAGCCTCGAAATCAGTTTGTTCAGACTGATCTCGTCTGGCTGGTTCTCCCTGACCACCAGAATCTCTCTTCGTGTTGCCAAGCTGAACAAGAGGGTTTCAGACTTGCTTTGGGGGGGAAATCTGCTGAATCTGTACCTGCTGTAAAAAGGCAACCTTAAAGAAGCGATTTTCCTGATTTTGTTTTTCCTTCCTCCTTTCCAGAGATTGAGGAACTAAACCCAAAAAAATACTGCATCTGATTTGCCAGAAAACATGTGCGTCTTGGTGTTTAGAAGCAGCTAATGTTAAGACACTTGGGGTGGTCTGAAACGTGATCATTTAATTGGAACGATTTGGGGGCCGGGTGGGATATATTATATATAAATAATTTGGGAGAGTTGGGGTCGATCAGTGTCTGCATTTGAAATGGTGACTCGGTCACTGCATCACAATGACATTTTTGTTTGTTCCTTCCAGCCTGTTTTAAAGAGATCTATAATAAAGTTTGATACCCTTCAGTTGCACGGGGTAGCTGCTGCATGTTTACCAGCTGGTAGTAAATTTTTTGTGGTTGGGCGTGCCTGGAGCTGCAGCACCCTGTTCTGCTGGAAGCGTGATTAGTGGGAGTACCTGGCGCGTCCGGGGTAACGGCCAGTGCTGTCACAGCCTGCCTGGCTGCCCTGCTCCCTTTCCCTGTCGGTGAGGGCCGCAGCTTTGGCTTGCAGCCCAGAGATGAAATCGATACCGTGGTTTTATCTTGTGCGGAGGTGAGTGGAGTCTCCGTGGCGTCCTACAGAGCAAGACGGATGCGGAGACAGTCGGGCGTCTCCGTGAAGCCGGAGCCCTCCTTACCTCTCGCCTCCGCCCTTGCCCAGCTCGCGCAAGCACAAGGTTTGCTGGGGGCTCGTTCGTGCCGGGACGGCGCGGTGGTGGAGCTGTGGGGATGGCGCTCGGCGTGGCTGTGGCATAACCTAAGTGGGACAGAGCTGAAGGGAGAGTTGTCTGCGGCAGGGTGAGAGGAAAAACGGGCTTCGGTCACAACCCGGGAACGCAGGACGCCCCGATCCCCTCCAGAAGAGCTCGGGGAGTTTGAGGAGAGCAGGATCCCTGACGGGCGGCTCACCCACACAGCAGCTGAACCGGTCTGTCTGCTGTTGTGCTTGGGTGGCTGCTTTGGCTATGGGCTGCTTAGGGGTTGCACAGCATTAAATTAAGTTTTGAAAGCTGGGGGGGGGGAAAGAGAGGGGTCCTGGGCTGAGGGTGGCCTTGGGTGCAGGTAGGTGGGGGTGCCCTGGCCCTGAGCCCAGCCTGCGCCTCGGGAACATTTTTCTTTCCCCAATGACATTTAAATGCAAGTTACCAAGGGCCGTTGAAAGGCGCGTGGGCAGTCCTGCGGTAAGTGGGCACCCGTTCAGTGGGGTCAGGGCTGCTCTCTGCCCTCGGGTGTGCTGCGTGGTGCCCCCCACTCTGCTCTCTGCCCTCCCAGCCACCTCTCCACCCTCCCCAAGACCCCCCTCCAAAACCAGCAGAAGCAC